GGAGAAACTCCTGTACAGCATGAACAAAGATTGGAAGAGGTATTTAAAAGAATCAGAAATAAAGGATTACGGGCGAGCGCGGAAAAAAGTGTGTTAGGAGTGTCGGAAGTCGTAAATTTGGGACATAAAATCGCTGGAAACATGACTGGGATTGCGAGTATGCTAAGACCGAATAATAAAGTGGAAGTGCAGGTTTTTCTAGGAATGGTAAACTATTATCATCGATTTGTAGAGAGTTTTGCACAGATAGCAGCACCTTTATGTAAGTTATTAAAGGAGGGAGAAAAATTCGAGTGGCAAGATGAACAGGAGGATGCTTTTGAAGAGCTGAAAAGTAAAATCAGAAGAGAACCAGTTTTGGTGTGTTTTAATAACGATTTAGAAGTAATATTAGCTGTAGATGCTTCGAATAGGGGTGTGGGTGGAGCATTATTGCATTGCATAAACAAGCTGGAAAGGCCTATTTTGTTTTTCTCGAGAATTTTTAGAGCAGCGGAAACAAGGTATTCCGTGATTGAACAAGAGGCCTTGGCAGTTATTTTTGGACTAACCAAGTGTCGAGAATACTTAATTGGTCGTATATTTGTAATCTATATGGATCACAAACCTTTAGTCCATCTTTTCAAGAAAGATAATAAGAAGTTAATGTTATTTCCTCGGTTAGATGGTTGTTACTGGTAGGCAGTTTTGATGTGCAAGTGAAATATAGGCGGGGAAGGGAAAACTATTTACCTGATATTTTGTCTCGATGTGGCGCTGGAGAAGAAGGGGGAGATGAAGGGGAAGAAGTAGGATCTGAAGAAGTGGAGGAGAGAAAGGAAAATGAACAAATTCGAGCAATAGCAGAGATATCTAGAGGTAGTCCCTCGACGTGGGAGGAGCTGAAGAAAGTCACTTTGAAAGATCGCAAGCTGATGAGAATTAAAAGGAGTGTTATGGGGAAGAGACCTTGGAGAGAGGGAGATAAATATTTCAAAAGCATAGAAAAAGAGCTGGCTATAGTTGATGAATGCCTGGTGCGAGGAAACCGAGGAGTAGTACCAATAAAATTGAGAGGCGCAGTGTTATCCATAATACATGCGGGACATCAAGGTATTGAACGAATGAAGGAATGGGGGCGCGAATATGTGTGGTGGCCTGGCATGAAGAAGGAAATTGAAAATATTTGCCGAGGTTGTAAAATGTGTAATTTATCGGCCAGTATGCGCCGTAAGGACAAGAATAGTGTATGGCCGAAGGCGATACGACCGTGGGAAAGAATACATTTGGACTTCTTCGATTTTGAAAACAAGATATATCTCCTTGTGGTGGATGCTTTTCCCAAATGGATAGAGTACGAAGAAGTGAGGGGATTGACTACTCAGGTTGTGGTATGGATGTTGAAAAATCTATGGGCCCGGTTCGGAGTAGCTAATATAATAATATCAGATGGGGGTCCAGCCTTCATAAGTAGTCATTTCAAGTTATTTTGTGCAGAAACGGGGAAACGGCCAGGCGGAAAGAATGGGGGCACTTGTTAAGAGCTGGTTAAGAAAGTCGAAGTACGGTGGAGGGAAAATGTGGATAGCAGTGGCATATTATAATAATAGTCGAAAAGAGGAAGAATTGTCGCTGGCCGAAAAGTTTTTGGGCCGTAGAACTCGCATTAAAGCAAGAGATAACTCAAGAGATGGATTCGAGGGATAATTTATGTGAATTTGTGGTTGGACAGACGGTGTGGGTTAGAATTTATGGAAGTACCCGAAAATAGGAATCCGGAGTGATCGTAGAAAACATTGGATTTAAATTAAGTCGAGTGACATTCACTGACGGACGAGAAAGAATAAGGCATCGGGATCAATTAAAAAGGGGCCTAGAGCCAGAAAGATTACGATCAGGAGTATGAGGAGGAGTGATATTATATGGAAGTAATAAAAGAAAATGTATATGTCTATGTAATAATAAAGGAAATATCTGTACATGTAATATGAAACAGTCGCACCTATCCTTATTCCCTTTTATTTCTGCGGTTTATTTTGTATTACTCAAAAAGAGATTCAATAAAAAAACTATACAACATGTTGAAGAGTATTACATAATAAGATATTTTTATAATTTAAATAATCTTTTCTTAAGAATTCTTATTTATTAAAGCTAACCATTTTGTCGTTCTGAACAATATGTCTTTTTACCCATAAAATTCTTAAGGATACCACCTTTTTTAAAATGCCATTTCGTGGCACCTACTCTCTTTTATCCATATGGATTATTTTGCATTAATTAGAAAAAAAGACATTCAATAAAAATACTATACATGGTTCACTATTTTTATCATATGAAAGAGCAATATCTAGTATGATATTTTAAAAATTTATATAAATTAATATATTTATTCTATAGAATCTTTATTTTTTAAAGTTACCATCTTGTGGTGCCGAATATGCTCTTTTATTCCTAATGATTATTCTTAAGGATCCTACCTTTTTAAAACTTTAAAACTTGCCATTTCGTGGCACCTATAATTATTCCCTTTTATTCCTACTCCTTATTTTGTATTACTCAGTAAAAAAGTCATATGGGGTTCACTAATTTATATGACCATATTGTTGTTGTAATTGTGTATTTTTAGATTATATATATATATATATAATTTTATATAATATCTAAAGTCAATCAAATGATGTTTAAATGTAAATTCGTAGATTATATATATAATTTTATAAAATATCATATGACAATCTTAAAACTTATGCATGTCGAATATCAAATGAATGTCAATCAATTTTTTATTCTAAGGAGCAAGAATGGAATTTTGATTCCATTTGTGTAAGTTAGAAATAAAGTGATGGTTTAAAATTATATATTTAATAAATTAATTTTAATTATGTAATTACTTTTTTTTATTTTACCTATATATATAATTCATTAATTATTTAAATAAGATTCTATATCTATTCTCAAGGATACTAGCTTTTTTTAAAGTTTTCCAATTCATCTCCCTAAACAATGTTTCATTTTATCCGCGCTGATTATTTTGTATAATTCACTAAGAAAACTATATATGCTTCGTTATTTTATTATAATCAGATCGTGATAACAATACATAATAGTATAATATCTTTATAATATAAATAAAATTATATATATTCTGAATCCATTCTTACTTAAACGGACTATTTCGTCGTTCCTAACATTATTCCCTTTCATTTAGGCTGATCAGCTCCATACCTATATTATATTTTTATTTAAAATCTGATATCTCATGATTTGTGAGCCATCCCCATTTGTTACTTACCACTATTTGTGATTCATGGGAATTTGTGATTCCTATGCTATATCTACCCCCCCCCCCATGCTGAAGGCCGGGCTAGGAAGTAGTCCGAATATCCTCTAATTGAATAATAAATATGCTTTGTTTAATTTTTTTGTTTTTAATTAATAGTAGAAATGAAATTATGTAAAATTTTATTTTATTAAAAATATATTTATTATTAAGAGAATTCAAATATTTGATGAAATAATCTAGATATTCGATCAAATTATTTAAAAATAGTTAAATATTCGATTATATTCAAGTAACTTGATTCAGATACAACTAATAATTAAAATAAATTAATTATTCTAATATCTAATATACTATTCGATTTGAAATAGGCCTAACTTCGACAATATATCAATGAAAAGATTCCTATGGAAATATTAAAAAAAATTATTTAACCTTGCAGCACTGCCGAGTGTGAAAGGGGATTTTATCTTATGAATTTGATCATGGTTGATAATAGAGCGAGTAAGTAAATAATTCAATTTTATTATCTATAAATATAAATGAACCTTTATTATTGGAGTGGATTTCAGATCAATATATCAAAATATGGAAAATGTATCATAGCTAGTATTGTTAAGAGCTTAATTTGGGTCGATTTTTCAAAATGTCTAGATTAAAATTTTGGCTAAAATAATATTATGTAAGCAACGAGATTTGGCAAATAGATGTCCAAGCATTTCTGCCAGCTATGTGCAAAATATTTAGGCTTAATTTTAGTTATAATCTTAATTTGGGGCGTTTTTTAAAATCGACCCGAATCGGGCTTTTTAACACTAATCATGACGAATAAAATCTTTATATATGTTGTATTAAATTTGTGACACTATTTTTATAATGTAATATAAATACAGAAATAATTTTTATTTTTTAAAAAAAGATTGATTATATCCATCATATTTTTAGATAATGTATAAAATAATTTTGTTCACCCGCCAAATTTTTAAACAATACACCACTGGAAATATATATATATTTTGGCAGATCCAATAAGAATTTTAGCCAAATTATATTATAAACAGAGATGTACATGTAGTTATATTATGCCAAGGGGGCTAAACCCCCCCCCCCCCCCCATCCCAATTCATCCCGCTAAAAATTTAATAATTTTTTTAAATAATTTTTTCAAAGTGTTATATTTGAATCCCCCTATTTCCATCATTATATATATTCTTTATTGGAAAAAAAATTGAACCTAAGAACCTAGATGGGCGATTTTACAAAAAATAAATAGACTCCCTCAAAGATTCAAATTAAATAAATATGAAAAAATTAAAAAATTTTTTTACTATCGATAGTATTGAATATTGTGCACGGCTTCGTCTTATAAACTTGATCATGGTAGATTATCGAGCGAGTTTAAATAATTTATCAAGTTTAATGTTCATAAATATTAACGAACCTTCGATATCAAAAAGAATTACAGATTCATATATCAAAACATAGACGAATCAACGCGGGGGAATAAAATCTTTTCAAAAAATACAAGCCAAAGTGATGAAGAAATGAAATATTTATAAAAAAAATTTTAATTCATATTTATTAATTTGTTTATATCATGATATTAAATTTGTGACTTTTTATAATATAAATTAATAATTTATTTATATTGGTAATGAAAAAAAAATCGATTATATATTCATCATATTTTTAATAATTATAAGAAAAACTTTGCCCCCGCCAAATTTTAAAGCAAGCACTAGCACTTATTATAATATAATTTATGTTCCTAGTGCTTAAACATTTACCATATTATTTCCTACGTAAACTATTATGAAGTAAATTTTTAATATTTGAATCTTATTAACATTTATTAGGCTAGAACTTTGCTCTTTTAGTGGGTACAAAATATACCCTGGACATGGTAAAAGATTAGTGAAAGTAGATGGAAAAGTATTGATACTATATTTTTCTTATAAGTTTTTGCAATGTAGGTCAACATCTTTATAAATAAAAAATGTTCTATATTGCATCTTAACAAATCCAATCCAAGAAAAATATGCTGGACTGTTTTATATAGAAGAAAACATAAAAAAGGTATACAAGAGGAAACAACTAAGAAAAGAGTTAGAAAAGTTGCAAAATTTCAGAGAGCTATTGTTGGAGCATCATTAACCGAAATAATGGCAAAGAGGAATCAGAAACCTGAGATTAGAAAGGCACAGAGAGAACAAGCCATAAAGTTATTATTCAATAATTACTTATTACATATTAAAAAAATTAGAGCTGCAAAAGAAAAGTCACAACTTAAGACACAAAAGAAAGTTGTTGCACCAAGAGTTTATTTAATTTATAAATCTTTTTATATTAAAACCTATATAGGATAAAATAAAGTCAAAAGCTTCAAACCGAGTACAAAAACAAGCCCCTAGAGTGACAGGAAAACGCTAATGTTAACAATCTACTATTATTATTTTTAATTAATTTATATAATAATTATAAAAAAAACATAATTTATATTTAAAATGCTGTTCAACTATGTAATTAACATAAATAAATAATTATGAATGATAACTAAATATATCAATGTTTTTTAATTATTATGAAATCTTTTTTTATATTATAATTTAGATGTTCTTAAATTTAAAAGGTTAAGATTTAAAATTTTGTTTTTATTGATTAGTCTGATAATAAATGAAAATCTTAAGTAGATTTAAAAATTTACTTGCATTTTGTCAAATATTTTTTCATGTTTTGGATATAGTATTTATCTGACATTTCCATATTATGTTAAATACAATTATCAAAGATTTTACAAAAATGATTTTGGGCTTATTAAAAGTGAACTTAAAAATAAATTCTGATTTTCCTTATTTATTAAACCTAAAGAGTATTAGGTGAGATTTTGTGAACCACAATTTAGACGCTATATTATAGAATCAAATTAATTTGTAACTTTCGTATTTTAAATATTGAATTCATTTAGTGTGTAACTGTTATTTTAAAATTTTGTGACAACCTTTGCCAGGCCCCTACTATAGTATGGGAGCTGATGTGTAACCAATTAGGGCCAGCAAATTTTGTTGCTTGATTTTATAAAAAAAATGCAAATTTTTATAATATATTTAAAGAAATTAAAGTATGACAAACCTTAATTAAAGATATAGTTATGCTATGACTTGTTTTCCTTTAAGCTAAAAAATGTTTATAGTCATCATTTACATGAACTATATAGGTGGGCATACTTTAAATTGCCCTTATGTAAATCGAGTTTTTTTTAGTTAAGCTTCAACTATTAGATTTATCAGAGACCTGCAGGCCCGGCCCTAAATTTTTTAAATATACCCGGGCCGGGCCTAAAAAAATTTTTTTTAAACATATCCGGGCCGGGCCTTAATATTTTTTATAAAAATTTTTACATTATGAGTTAATGGTTATAAGATTATATTATAGTTATGATTAATATAATATTGGATGATGGTTAACACTACCTAACAACCCACAGATCGATCTAATTATTAATTTCCTGCAAATTTATTCAAAGTATTAATATATTTTTTTATAATTCATATCTAAATTTTTACAACATATTTTACCAAAACAATCAAATAAAGGAATATCTTAAATAAGCCCCAATATTCAAGTATTATTAATATATTTTTTTATAATTCATATCTAAATTTTTAGAATATATTTTACCAAAACAATCAAATAAAGGATTATCACTTCTTAAAGTTTGTAATTGATTTTACTTAATATAAAGCATTTTTTAATTGAAAAATTTGTTTTACACAAGTATTTTATTTCTCTTTTTCTCTGTCCCAAATTTAAGCAATTACGTATGTAGTCAGGGACAGATCGAAAAATGACGGAAAACTATATAAAAGATTATTAAATTACAAGAGGCTCAGGAAGTAAATGAAATACCATCGACCAGTCAAATTACGACTGTTAAACAAACTGAATTGTTTTATGACAAATGGGGCGATGGTAATTCTGGTAATATGTCAATACCCGATGATGAATATTATAATTACATAAATAATAGATAAAACATTTAAGGTGGATAATTTGTTAGAGTGATGGGCAGCTCATCAAAGCGAATTTCCAATTTTAGCAAAATTGGCAATTCCTGCTTTAAGTGCAAGCTGTGAGCGGAATTTTTCCACTACTGGGAGAATTCTCGAAGAAAGAAGAAGTAATCTTCAACCTGAAAAGGTAGATATGCTTCTCTTTCTTCATGATAATTTGTGAATTTTTAATATCTTTCTTGAGTATAGGGTTTTGTCAATCATGCTGGTTTTTTACTTTGCAAACTGTCAAATATTTATTGCATTTATTATATTTACCTTGATTCATGAAAGTTTTTAATCCAACATTTTTCATTATTTTTTTTTACAATATTATATAATACAATTATCTTCTTTTGTTAAAAATTTATATTATAAAATAAATTATATTAATATTGTGCAATTAGATTATATTTTCAAAATACTATTTATTATACATGCATTTTTTTAAATAGCGATTTATTTTTATTTTATAAATTAAATAGTAAATTAAATACAATATATTATATTCTCAAAATATTTTCCATTTTTATAAATTAAATATTAGTTTTATTTTTTTTAAATGTAATATAAAATATAGTATATGACAAATATTATTACCATTTTTATGAATATTAGTTTTATTTTTATAAATGCAATATAAAATATAGTATATGCTCAAAATATCCATTTTTATAAATAACAGTTTTATAATTTTTATAAATTCAATATAATATTCTCAAAATATTAGCTTTTTACATGCATTTTTTAAATAATAAGCGATAATACTCGCTGAAAAATATGGTAAAATACCTCATAGGTGAATTTTTGTATATACCAGGTCGAATATAATTTAAAAAAATATCCGGGCCGGGCCTTAAATTTTTAAATCCGGGCCGGGCCGTAAAAATTTTTTTTTAAAAATATCCGGGCCGGGCCTAAAAAATTTAAAACCGGGCCATGCAAATGGTATCTCTGCAGGTCTCTGAGATTTATAAATTATATACTCGTTTCAGACCCTTAAAAAATCACAAACCAGATTAATAAAAAAATTGTTTTAGTAAACAGAATTGTTAGAACATCATATAATCCTTTATTTCAAGATTTTGAATAATGGGAAGAGGGAACATTTAATTCAAGTGCTGAGAAAAAGAAGGAAGGTGAAAGCTAAATTTATTTATTCTTAAGAAGGGACTCTTTTAAAATGGTGCATATGAAATGCAAGAAATAAATTAATCATTAACATTGATATGATTGGATTTTTTAATGTAGTTTTCAACAATCATGTCATATAATCCTTCAAGAGTTTGAATAATGGGAAGAGGAAACATTTAATTCAAGTGCTGAGAAAAAGAAGGAAGGTGAAAGCTAAATTTATTTATTCTTTAGAAGTGGCTCTTAAAAAAGTGCATATTAGAGGTCTGCATTACGGTGTTTCGGCCCATCCACGCCCGCCCATTTAAGTGGGCGAGTAAAAAAAATTTCCAAAATGGGCGGGCGGGTGGGTTAAAAAAATTTGAAACTATGGGCGGGCGGGTTAAGAAATTTAAACAATGGGCGGGCGGGTTAAGGAAATTTAAAATTTTTGTTCAAAAACAAACTAAATAATATAATTGTTTAAATGATCTATAATAATATTTCTTTTTTTATTGTACCAATCGTTTTTTTTAAGTGAAGAACATTTATCTAACTATATTATGTAATAAACAACAATAAAACTTTTTTCTTAGAATAAATAAACATTTTTGTCTATTTTTATAGGAATGTAATAAAACTTTTCTCTTAAAATTTCCTTTTTTTGGGTTTGCAATCTGCAATTTTATTATTTTATTTTAGTAATAATTGTTTATCTTTATAATTGCCCTTTTCATTTTTATTTTATTATATAATATATAAATTTTATTTTTTATAACAGAATTTTTAATAAAAAAATATATTTTAATTTAATTTTTATTTTAAAATTTTATTATGAATAAAGAAAATATATCTAAAAAAATAATTTATATAAATTAAAAGAAAATTTAAAAAATTTTTAGAAAATTCACGGGCGGGCGGGTTAAAATTTTTTTAAGACCAATGGGCGGGCGGGCGGGTAAGGAATTTTAGACAAATGGTCGGGGCGGGCGGGTATATATTTTTTGAAAACTATGGGCGGGCGGGTTAAATTTTTTTAAAACATTGGATGGGCGGGTAGACCTCTAGTGCATATAAAATGCAAGAAATAAATCAATCATGAACATATTGATATGATTGGATTTTTTAATGTATTGATCAAGCAAAGAGTTTGTTGGAAGAACGTTTTCAACAATCAAGAAACCATTTGAGTTTTTATTCCATATAACTGCATTGGTAAATGTGTCTTAAACAAAGCTTAAAGAATATTTTTTTAGGGTTCGAGATTTGTTGGAAGGCAATATAAATGTATTAGATATTAGCTGAATTAAAATTTTTAATAAATATATTATATAAGCAGACCACAAAAAGTCTTGTACAAATTTTTTGCTATTCATTGTTTTTAGCAAGGATCCAAACCGAAACGAATATCGGTTCAGGTTCGGATAAAATAACGGTTCAAGGTTCAGGTTGAAAAATAAAAATATCGGTTCGGTTCGAACTTCTAAGAACAGGTTTGAACACTTTTGTATTCAAACCTACATCCGAATTATGTACATGGAAAAATTTTTTTTTTATTTCATAATTAAAATAAAAAACATACATTCATAAAACCTTCATTTTTATTAATTGCACATTATAAAATAATGTTTAATTTATAAATTTTACAAATAAATATTGATTAATTTTAATACTAACTTAGGTAGCCGGTGTAGGATTGTGAAATCAATACCCATTGTAGTTTCAATACCGTATTGATATTATCATTGTAGATTCAATACCGTAGTGATATTTTGGTATTGTAGAATCAATACCGTATTGATTTTTAAGAGATGTTTTCATCGCTTCAAATATATCAGCGGCCATTAAAATTGTAAAATATCTATTCATTATATATTTTTATCGTTTCAAATATATTGGGGGCCATTAAAGTTTTAAAATATTCATTATTATATATTTATTCATCGCTTCAAATATATGGGGGCCATTAAAATTTTAAAATAAATATTATTATATATTTATTCATCGCTTCAAGTATATTGGCGGCCATTAAAATTATAAAATATTTTTTATTATATATATTCTTCATCGCTTCAAATATAATGGCGGCCATTAAAGTTATAAAATATTTTTTATAATATATATTTTTCATCTTTCTATTCTTTTATATAATTTTTTAAGGGAGTTTTTAGAATTCTTAATATCCTATATAAATTTTATTTGTTTAATATATACAAGTTTTCTTCATACATCATATTATTGAAATCTCAAGACTTAAAAAAAGTAAGCTAATCACAAGCAAATAAGGGTTTCTATTACGTCAAAGGATCTCAATCACTCACTCTGATTAATCATTTCCTCTTGGCTTCTTAAAATCGTGATTTTATTTATTAGATGTATATATAATTATTGCAGAAAATTTTAAATAAATAAAATGT